AAAAAAAAAAAAAAAAAAAAAAAAAAAAAAAGATATACAGGCCTCGAGAGTAGGAAGATTGTAAAGTTTCAACTTCTTGAATTTTATTTATTGATTTGTCGAGTTTTTACTTTTCTTATCTTTTGCTGAGATGATTGTCATGGCATAGCAATAGTTCATTTCCAATGCCACTGAAGCTAGGTTATAAATTGGTAGACCTTTCAGGGTTACACATTCTAATTTAACTTTCTTCTATTGCTTTACAAGTTTCCAAGCAACACGATCTAGGCCTCAGAATGTTACAACAGAGTGCATAAAATTATTAACAAGATTCAAATAAATGAGTAAATGAAACAAAAAAATGTGCACACAGACAATACTTCATATAAAGAAAAAGGAGGAAGATGGTGCAAGTGCTATCCTTCACCGAAAATTCAATCGACTAACCTTTCTCTGAAAGGTCGATGCATCATTCGCGCCTTTTGGAGACTCACTACAAACAAATCCAAGAAAATAAAGTTACGTGGACATCGGATTACAGAGATAAAATAATGGAAAAGATAATGAACCAGTATATAAGTCATAAATATAGTAACAAAAGGCATTATAATCATATTTGTGATAACACGAGCTCGAGGAAGATGCCCAGTATAGTGTTTTCCTCTTACATATAGCATGTTTGGCTTAATTCAAATTTATGGATTTCAAATCCCTCAATTTTATTTCATTTGGGGTAGATTTAAAAATCGTTGGTAAACCCACTCATCTGAAATTCATACTTGTTTTTCTTATACATGCAAGTTGTTCTCTTTCTCTCTCTCTCTCACACACACTACACATTTTACACACACCAGGCAGATTTCTCACACAAACATCCATACACACAGAAACTGGCATTACAAAATTTCAGATACACACACACACATTTCATGCACATAAGCATATACTACACACAATTACACATAATTGAGGCCAGGCACTTGCTACATGTTCCAAGCATCTCATATTAAATAACTGAAAATTAATGTCGATCTATGCAGAACTAACAGAATTTCAATATAAGATTGCATTTAATAAGCTAGTATTGAACTTGGTCTGGGGACATGGAGCAAATCCAATCTCTAAAGTCAAACTTTCCAATTACGTACTCCTGGAAATAAGACAGTACACCCAAGTTAAAACCAATATGCATATGGTCCAAATCTCATTATTGAAGATCATTACAGCAACATGGAGCAATTTCAGCCACAGAAAGACAACTCAAGCAGCTTACTGTCCCCATACAGCATTTATATTTAACATAAAACGAAAAGATAGCATCATAACAATTCCAAATATAGAAAATAGTGTAACTAAACAATTGTCTTTTATAAATCAACAACATACTAAAGAAGGAGAAACCTTTCTCTCCAGCGCAACAGAGCTTCCAATAAGGGTACAGGTGTGTGTCGTGCAACCATTGCTAAAGAATCTAATACTTGCTCATAAGCCGGGTCTGATGGCCGAAGGTACTGTCCATCCTGCAGTTAGTTGCACAGCAGGTTAATCAAACATGGCTTGTTAAGATATATTTCACCAGAAGT